TATATATATATATATACATACATATAATATGTATCTAACTTATATTTACAGAAAATGAGATTTCCTCCTGTAATAAAATAATGATACTAAAATAAAAAATTATGTTCTAATTATGTTTTGGATAATATTCTAAGAATCATAAGATTAAAAATAAGAAGATATTTATATTAAATATCTATAATACATTTAATATAATATTGTTGTGACGCTGGTGTTACCTTGTCAGAAAGGATTAGCTCGCTCGCTAATCCCCACAAATTTCCCAAATTTAATCTTAAAAATCTTATTTCCGATCTTATTGTTTATACGCTCGCTTACAATGCCTCTCTATACATATCGATTATTACGAAGAATATTGTTAAGGTCTCGGTAGTCCAAAGACTTAGGATGCTCGCACGGAATGCAAGAAATCCGGGTTCGACTGAGACAATATTTTTCGGAATAAGTTTATTACAGTTTTTTAAGATTAAAAATTATAAATATTATAAATATTATAAATAAAAATTATAATTAATTTGGGAAATTTGGAAGAATTATTAATATTTCAGATTGATTGCGTTGAAAGTCCGATTACAATCTATTTGATGATGCGACATCTCGAAAGATCCCTTCGAAGAACTCTTCGAACCCCTTCAGGCCAAATTTCAGCCAGAAAGGACGCATAGTTCACGTTTGGTAGTCATTTGAAGCGAGATTGGCGCGCGTGTTCTTTCATCAAGACAACGCGCCGTCCCAAGTCTGTTGCAATGACAAAACTACGAATTGGGCTATGAATTGATTCTTCATCCTTATTCTCCAGATTTGGCTCCGTGTGACTTCTTTCTGTTCCCAAACTTAAAAACTTGGCTCGGTAGGAAGAAATTCTCGTCAAATGAGGAAGTCATTGTCGCCGTCAATGAGTATTTTGCAGACTTTGAGACAGCCTACTTCAAATGACTACCAAACGTGAACTATGCGTCCTTTCTGGCTGAAATTTGATCTGAAGTTCGAAGAGTGGATTTTTCGAGATGTCGCATCATCAAATGGATTGTAGCGCCATTTCATGGAAATTTATCAAACTTATCAAACGACTCACGTCTTATAGAGAATTATAATTTTAATTGCAAATTTCTTATAATGATGACGTGAATGATGGAACTATTTGATAAATGGGTATTTGTATTCAGCATCCAATAAAACTGTTATGGAAGACGATTAGTCTTGTTTTGAAATTCGAAGAAAAATAATTTTTTATCAAACAATATTATTGTTTATTTATCTCATTATTCTACATAAAAGTATTAATTAGACAAAATTATCACATAGTAAATAGTTTACAATATTGTAGACATGCAAATGTCTCTCAATGTCTTGGAGTTCTCAGAACCAGTCTTGCTGAGAAACGGAGATAGAAAATGATGGCAAAAAAGAATTTAATTTATAATATGACAATACGTTTCGAAATGTCAACGCTTTTTTTGTTTAAAAAAATGATGCTCTACAAATATTCGACTGACGATCGGCGAACGATATAATCTCGCCTTCCGCTTATTTAAATTTAATATCGATAATCTACGTTTTAAACATAATATTTTAATAGACATTTAAATTAAACTCTACAATATTTTATATTTCATGTTAAAATGTGCTACAATGAAAGTATATAATATCATTAAATATTTTTGATCATTTTATACTATAATATGTTTAGAGCATATAAGAGTCAATCTAATTAATTATAAATACAAGAACTATAATATGATACAAGGGCAAGTCAATAAGTTCTTAGAAAATCAGAGGGCATTCGCAATATCATGTCACATTGCTTTTTGACAAGTAGCATCTCTCAGCTGATTATTGTTAAATTTTGAGAATTCATTGCGTGATTTCATTTCTGTAGACGATTAAAGCGAACACTCTTTGTATTTTTTGCAAAATGGAAAAAAACGAGTTTCGTGCAGTGATCAAAACATTTACGTATGAAAGGTTTAATGCCGAAAGAAATCAAAGCCAAGTTGGATAATGTTCATAGCACCAGTTTGCAACTGTATATAATTGGGTGAATGAATTTAAACGTGGTCGTACATTTCATATGTGATGCACCTCGTTCAGGATATCCAATTGAGGCTGCTATGCCAGAAATCATCGATAAAGTCCATTGTTTTGACTGATCAATGAGTAAAAGTGCGCTTGTTGAGGCCACAGGCATATCATATGATACAGTGATTTCAATTTTGCACGAACAATTGGGTATGAAAAAGCTATCGACAAGATAGGTGCCGCGTTTGCTCACTGTGGACCATAAGCGCG